GATTTATACAGGAAACAATTCTTACTACATACCAAAATGAAATACAGCATTATAATGCAAAATATATATAACACTAATTCAAAAATAAAAATCCCCATGAATCAAACATAATAGAAGTCAAAATTCAATTATTATAAGAAAAATATGTGATATAAGTAGCATTGATTAAAGTAAATAATTTCAATTAATGTTGCTGAAAATATTGAAATAGTCTAAAAGAAAACAATAATAAAATTGGGCACCCTGTCTTAACATCCTACACTAAATTTCCAATTAGTTAAGATCATAATGGGAAGAAATTGAAAACTTTTAGGTGTAAGAAAAGGATTTCCATTTTACTACCAATATTCAATTTAGTACTGATTGTCCAAACTAGAGCAATTAGGCAAAAGAATGACAGAAAGGAATCCAAATTGGAAAAGAAGAAAAAAACTATCATTATTTACAAACAATGTGATAGTATACATGGAAACTCCTAAGGACCCTATTAAAAAAGTACTAGCACAATAAATCATTTAAGTGAGGTAGGAGGCCACAAAATAAATGGACAAAAAGTGGTTGCATTTCTATACGCAAATAGTGAATTGATAGAGAAAGAAATCATGGAAACAATTCTATTTACAAATCACATAAAAAGGAATTAAATACCTAGGTGTATACTTAACAAGGGTTAAAAGATCTGTGCAATTAGCACTGTAAGACATTGCTAAAAGGAACAGAATAAGATACAAATAAATGGAAAGTTTTTCCTTGCTCATGGTTTGAAGAATTAAATTGTTAAAATGAATGTTTTATCTAAAACATGTATACACTTAGTAAAACTCCTAAAAAAAAAATCAATGGCATTATCAAAGACATAGAGAAAAATTATTTAAATTTATATGGAACCATAAAACAGCATGATAGCCAAAACAATCCTGACAAAAAAGAAAAATGGAGGTATCACACTCCCAAACTTTAAACTATACTATATAGATACATCAAAATAATGCAATATTGGAACAAAAATAGACCAGTGCAACAGAATTTAGAACGTAGAAACATATATGTGGATAGTTATTTTATAAAAGACTCAAGAGTGGTGCAGGGGTTAAAGATAGTGCTATCAAGCTATTAGCAGCCATTGTAGCACCAGTTTCATCCCAGGCCAGCCAGGGAGCAACACACATGGTGCAGCAGACCTCTCCTGCCTCGCCTGCTGCTCCCCTCAGCAGTATATTTCAGTAGATCTGCCTGTTCTGCTCCCCAATCTCTGGTGAATCCTCTCACCTCCTGCACCTTTGATTTATACCCCAGTTCTTGTATGCATAAATAAATCTTAAAAAAATAAATACAACTGTGTTAAGTGTATACAATGGAGAAAGGAGAATCTCAACAAATGGTGTTGGGGTAATTGTGCAGTCACATGTTAAAGAATGGAACTAGACCATTACCTCATACCATACACAAAAATTTTCTTAAAATAGATTAAGGACAGGGGTGTAAAACTGAAACCATCAAATGCAGAGAAGAAAACAGGAAAAATGCATCAAGATATGGTTTCAGGGATGTCTTAGTGGACTCAAGTCCAATGAATACCAGAATAAACAAATGGGACTACACCTAACTGAAAAGCTGAAGAGCAAAAGCAATGATCAAAGCAAAGATCAAAAGCAATGATCATTAAAATGAAAAGACACCTTACTGAGTGGGAAAAAATATTTCTATTTCTATATCATAAGTGTGACAAAGGGCTAATATCAAAGACCTAAAAAGAATTCATACAACTCAGCAACAACAAAAAACAATTTGATAAAAAATTGGGCAGAAAGCTAACTAGAAATTTCTCCAAAGAAGATATACAGATGACCAACAGGCATGTAAAAAAAAATGCTCATAATGATTTGTCATCAGGAAAATGAAAATCAAAACCAGAATAAGACACCATTTCACATTATGACAAAGACCCATATCAAAAATAACAGAAACAAGTGTTGTGGAGGGTATGGAGAAAAAGGAAACTTCATTCACTATTGGTAGGAATGTAGACTAGTCTAGCCCTTATAGAAAACAAGTGGAAATTTATCAAAATATTAGAAAAAAGGTCAGCCTTGTGATCCAGCAATTCTACTCCTATGTATCTACCTAAAACATGCAAAAAACCACTAATTTGAATGGATATATCCACTGGAATGTTCATTGCAGCACTTTTTACAATGTCTACGTTATAGAAGCAACCTCAATGCTCAAGAACCAGTAAGTGGATTAGGAAGATGTGGTATATATACACACAATGGAATACTACTTGGCTATCAACATGAGATGAACTCTTGCCATTTGAAATAACATGGATGGAATTAGAGAGGATTGTGCTAAGCAAAATAAGTCAGAAGGCCAAAGACAAGATGATTTTACTCATGTGAGAAATATAAAGAAACAAAAAAGGAACAGAAAAAACGAAATCAAACAAGCCATAGAAATACGATGGTAGAACTGAGGCTATGAGAGGTTGTGGGTAGTGGGATGAAAAACAAAGTGGGTTGTGGACCCAGTAGACTATGGTGTAAGCTTGTGGGTGCTCTGGTAGTGGGTAACATACATAGGAAGAGGTATGCATCTTTACCCCTAAATGGTATACATTGTTTAAAACCAATGTTACCTCAATAAAAAATAATACAATACAAAAAATAAAACTGAAAATGTGATTCAAAATGCCTACATAAAGAGAAGCATAACAGTTGCAATGCAAATGAGAGAAAAAGTACTAAAATAGGACTTGGGGGCCTCCCTGGTGGCCTAGGGGTTAAGTCTCAGTGCTATCACCTCAATGGTCTGGGAGCTAACCCCCAGCCATGGAGCTAAACCACATATTGCACAGCAGGCCTCTCCCGTCTCACCCACTGGTCCCCTTAACATTAACAAAGAGAAACCCCACCAACTGGGAGAACATTTTTGCACCCAACACTAATGATAAAGGACTGATCACAAAAATCTGCAAAGAGCTGATGAGACTCAGCAACAACAAAGAAAATAATCCAGTCAAAAAATGGGCAGAAGAGCTAAAAAGAAACTTCTCTGAAGAGGAAATGCAAATGGCCAACAGACATATGAAAAAATGTTCAACATCACTTGTCATCAGGGAAATGCAAATCAAAACTACCATGAGATACCATCTCACACCAGTGAGAATGGCACATATTAAAAAAACTAGCAACAACAAATGTTGGCGAGGATGTGGAGAAAAAGGAACTCTCCTGCACTGCTGGTGGGAGTGCAAACTGGTCCAACCACTATGGAGAGCTGTGTGGAGATTTCTGGACCTACTAAACATAGAGCTTCCATATGATCCAGCAATTCCACTCCTAGGTATTTACCCAAAGGACACAGAAACATCAATTCCAAAGAGCACCTGCACTCCTATGTTTATAGCAGCACTGTTTACAATAGCTAAGCTTTGGAAACAACCCAAATGCCCAAAAATAGATGACTGGATCAAGAAGATGTGGTACATATATACCATGGAATATTACTCAGCATTCAAAAAAGATAAACACATGCAATTTGCAGCAACATGGATGGCGCTGGAAGGGATCATGCTCAGCGAAATAAGCCAAAAAGAAAAAGAAAAATACCGGATGGTCTCACTCATAGCAGGAATCTAGAAAACTTAAATAAGGGACCAGGAAAATGAATATAAGAAAGTGAAAATCAAAATCAACAAAAAACTATGAACCAGAGACACTTTTTGGGGGGTGGGCGGCGGGAGGGGAAGGATTGGGGTCAGAGTGGGGCGTTTGCAATTGTATGGGGGAATATAAAAATAAAATTTAATATTAAAAAAAAAAGAAAAAAAGAAAAAATTAACATAAACAAACAAACAAATAAAGTAAATAGATAAAAAATTTAAAGCTAAAAAAAAAAAAAAAAAACAGTGTATTTCATTACATTTGCCTGTTCTGCTCCCTACTGTCTCTAATGAATCTTCTCACCCTGGCACCTCTGGCCTATGCCCAGTTCTTCTATGCAAAAATAAAGAAAAGAAAAATCTTTGAGGAAAAAAAAGGAGAAAACTTTATATATATATATATATATATATATATATATATATATATATATATAAAAGGATTTGGTTATTACTACTTCTGTAGTTTTTCTTTTAATTTCTTTTAATGGCTGCTCTCTTCAAGGGGCACTTGTGTATTGCAATTATGTTTTCTTTGATACATTCAAAAATGTTTTATAGTTATAAAAATGTATTTATTACTTTTAAGTAATTTAATAATAGTAAAGTCAACTGTAGTTAAGGTGAAAGCATATTTTCACTCTGACTTTACCTTCTGAAATTTTCCATGTTTATTTAAAAGGTTATACACACACACATGCACACACACACTCACAAATATAAACCTATTTCATGTTTAAATTGAAGGTCTAGGTGATGCATTTACATGTGAATTTATACAATTTTTTTTATCTTCAGGAATAATATACAATGTTTTGATATATTTAAATGTCAATTTTCTAGAGAAACAGGAAAATATGTAAATTAGAAAACTGAGCTATAAATGCTATTTATTTCACTTTCCTTTCCACCCTATCCATACTGAGTCAAAGTGTTTTTTTTTTTTTTTTTTTTTTTTTTTTTGATAGAGGCATGCTTTTTATTTATTTGTTTGCTGGTTTGTTTGTTTGTTTTGTTTATACATGCACTGGGTACAGTCAGAAGCGCGGGAGGGCGAGAGAATTCACCAGAGCCAGAGCGGGGAGCAGAGCAGGCAGAAGGACCCAAGTACACAGCTGAGGGGAGCAGCGGGCGGCAGGAGAGGTCTGCGCACCATGTGGGACCCTCCTCCAGTGGCCGGGGAGCAGCCGGGGATCGAACCGGCACCGCAGAGGCCGCGGGCAGCTTCGCAACCCAGCGCTCAACCGCTGCGCCACCGGGGAGGCGCTCAAAGTGTTTTTTATTTCCTCTACATACTCTGTATGTTATATAAATTCTGTTTTTGTATCAAAACATTTAGGTAAGAAGAGAAACTGGGAAATTATGCCACAATAATAAAGGGAGTATTTCATAATCATCAAAATAATGTACTTGTTTCTTCAAACTGAAAGCAAAGTTTCTAGTATTGTTAATATGCTGAAGACAATGTGTTCTGGCCAGACACAATGGATTTTGATTAGGTAAGATTAGGACAGCTTTTAAAACTTACATCTCCTTTTTCAAATAATCATTCTGTCTCTTCTTTTCAGTAAATAATCTTCTGAAATATCTGAATGTTTGCCTATCACTTTATTTTTTCACATTTCATTGTATTGTTTTCCAAATAATTAGCAATGCTATTCCAAAGACAGATGCTTATTTTAATTTGTAAAATAAGGATTATGTCTTTTTCCCCTTTGTTATTCAGCAAATCATGTTCAACCTGTTTTGTCTTATTTACACAAGAGGCATGTTGACATAATTCCAGTGGTAACACATTATGCTGATAGAATGTGTATACTGTGTGTTTAATTGGTTTAATTAGTAATTTCCTTTCCTATGCCAACTCAGTTGTCAGACTGATCTTTCAAAAATATTGATGAAATCATATTTTTATTATGATTGAAACTTTCTACCATTGTTTACACAATGGTTCAAATATTTAATCTGACTCAAAAGCCCTTCCTATGTGCTTCTAACCTACCTCTTCAGTCTTGGTGGTTATCACATTCTTTTCTAACTCTCACTTTCTAACTTCCTCCAATTACAACTGGTTCTTGACAAATGTCCTTTTGTTCAACGTCATTGCATTAGAACATGGATGAGGAAAAAGTGCAATTTCTGGCCTGTTGTTGTCTGTACAAAATTTCCATATTTTTCTTGTGTGTATGGGTTTTCTCCAAGCACTCTGATTTCCTCTCACATCCCAAAGATGTACAGCCTATGATCGCTGGAGTGTCTGACCTGCTCCATCTGAGTCCATGTGGTGTGTGTGAATGATCCTGTGAAGGAAGGGTATCTGTCCTTGGCTAGTGCCGACTTTGCACTCTGAGATAGTGTCTCCCACTATCTCTACTTCCTTACACAAATTGTTCTATGACTAGTCACTCCCTGAGTTGTCCTTTTTTACATTTCCTCAAGTTTCTATCTCAAGAATATCTGCTTTCAGGCCTCCCTTGTAGTGCAAGGAATTAAGGCAGCACTATGAAGCTATCTGCAGCCACTGCTTCATTAGTTCCATCCCTGGCCAGGGAACTAACACACATGGTGCAGCAGACCTCTCCTGTCTTGCCCGCTGCTCCCCTCAGCAGTATATTTCAGTTGATCTGCCTGTTCTGCTCCCCACTCTCTCTGGTGAATCCTCTCAACCCCACACATCTGGCCTACACCCCAGTTCTTGTATGTGTAAATCTTTAAAAAAAAAGAAATTTTGAGATTCTAATTTAAATTCTATCATCATTTACAAAAGCTTGACACTAAGGAATTTTCAGTATATTATCATTTTTTGGCATAGACGATCTGGGGTGTAGGCCAGAGGTGTGTGTGGGGGAGAGGATTCACCAGAGACAAAATGGCGAGCAGAACAGGTAGATCTACTGAAATACACTGCTGAGAGTAGCAGCCGGGGAGATAAGAGAGGTCTGCTGTGCCATATGTGGGTTAGCTCCCTGGCCGGTTATTAAACTCAGGCCGTGGCGGTGATAGCACTGAGACTTAACACCAAGGCCATCAGGGAGGCTCCAATAAAATATTTTATTCCTTCAGGATCATGTTAATTGTTTTTGAGGAATTTTTTAAAATCTCTCTCCCTTTGACATATTTCAAAGTTATTTAGGAAGTTGGTACTTCTAGATGCTTACCAGGTCAAGTCTATGCAAAGTAAAGGAACCAGAATTTACAGCTCAAGGCCTTTTGGTTTATATCTTAAATGTTCGCATACCTGGAGTAACTGGGGATAGAATCTATTATCATGATATAGGTAGTTTGGCCTCTCTCTCTCTATCCTTTTAAGTGTACTTCCCAATAGTCATCTCTTTATTCATTTAAATAATTGGCAAGAGATGCAGTCCTTAGCAGAAGGTGGGAGCTTATTTATGTCTCCTCTTTGTCTGTAAAGACAAAGGAGAAGAACAGATGAGATCAGATCAAGTAGTACTTTGTTTTATAATCTCTCTAGAGAAATATAGGAGTTCCCTCCCTCCATGCTCATATTTCTTGTTGTGAGACACTAATGAAGACACTAATTAGTTGTTTAGTGGCATGGGCTTCCCTTGGATATGTTCAAGATCTACTTTGCATTTTGCATATGCTTCACTTACATGTTTCTCGTTGTTCTTTCTAAATTCCATCCTTGAGATAGAATAAAGAAAGCAACAGCAATCCTCAATCTCTCTTTCTCTCTTTTTTTTTTTTTTTTTTTTGGATTCAATGTGTCTACAAGCTCATAGTGAATGCACGTCAAAGAAAATTTACTTCAGTCAGATACATCAGGCAACACATCAGGTAAAAAACAAAGTGCCACTGACTACATACAGTAAAGTTCAAAAATGAGAGTCCAAATCTGATAGATGTCCTCGCTAGAATGTTTATGCTCTCATTAGCATATTGCAATGCGAAGTGAACAGTGATATGACAACAGAAGTGTTCTCTAAGGATTAGTACCAAATTCAGGATTAGCAACAGCTCTCATTTCTTGCTCATCCTAAGTTTGAATTGCATAGAATATATCATTGATTTCATTAGGTTTAATAATTTCATTCAAAATACATATTCACAAATATTTAGTGATTCTTTTATTCAAGATATTGTATGTCATAAGAGGTAAATGTTCATCAAATTCATCCAACTAAGGACTAACTACATAGTCTATAGATAATAGACTGTATTGTTTAACTATTAACTATAGACTACATAGTTAATATCAAATTTTATTTTGGAAGGTTAAATAAGTAGAATTCAATCTAGCAACAGAAATTATGACATGAAATAAATATAAAGACCCATAAAATACATATTTGAGAACATCCTAACATTTTAACTTATTGCAGACTCACTTTGAATCAACAATATGGTTCTCTGGTGAGCAAACAAAAGTCAAATAAAAATATAAAAGCTAAAAGCAGCAGAATTAGAATTCTACAGCATTGGGTCATAGAATTATAGAATTCTTGAGGAGAACAAAGAAGATAGTTGAAGAGTTTGACAGACAGTTTGAAATAAGAAGCTATATAGTTTGAAAAACTGAAAAGTACTGTTTTTCAATATTGGGATTATTCTACATGGTCCTAGAGATAATGCCTCCATCACTTTATTTATGTAAAATAAAAAATGTATTAATGTATGATTTAATTAATATAGAAATACATTGACACATAGTCCATAGATTTACTGTATAAACGTAGTGCAGTGATGAACAAAAAAGACATGATCCCTGATTTAAAATTACAGAATGAAAAAGGATAAACATCAATGGCAGAGACAAAATATTGCAAGCAGATTTCACTCAGTATAAGGAAGACTTTCAACCAGAACTGCTTCTAAATGGAATGGCTTCTCAAAACTGATATTTCTGTTTCTGTTACAGGAGGGATCAAATGTACCAAATGGCCACTTGTTTGGAAATTGAAGCACGGAGTAAAACCCTGTACCAACTCTTTCTCTAACTTTTATGAGTATATTTCTACTTTAGTTTCTTTATTTGAGAGCAATTTAGTCAGATGCAACTCAAAGGAAATGTTATGATCATAAAATAACTAAACATGAAGCTTTTTTTGTTTGTTTTCCATGAATAAGCTTAGGCTAAACATGATCAATATGAAATCCTGTTTGCAACCTTGATATATATTCATAACACTTATAGATTATAATTTTAGAGTTCTAAGAAAAAATACACCTATAAATATTCCAATTTACAAGGATAGTCACATATGGAATGGGGAGAATGAAGATGGGACAGATAACTCCTATTCTTTACAAGTAGCTTTATAAGAAGGGGTTATTCAGGTACAAGTTATAAAACCCAACTCAAATTTGTTTAAGATGTAGGTGATGTTTGTATATATAACATGTGAATATGTGTGATGGATAATTGCAGGAACAGATGTTTTCACTCCTGCACTGAGTCATAAAGTATCTTCCTTTTTCCTTCTCTACTTCTCAGCTCTTCTTTCTGCCACAGTGACTGTCTTTTTGTGTGGTGAAAATGCGATCAAATAGTTGACCCAGGCCTGTAATGTCCAAGGGAATTGCAATAGTTGATTAAAGTTGTCTTTCTTTCATGAAATGTGTTTTACTGATTCTCCCAATGTGTTCCTCATATGCCTAACCTTATGATGGAGTTAGTGGTATCATCAATAGTTTTATTTTATGGGAGAGATAATTCCCCCAATAGATTTATTGCTCAGTAGACAAAAATATGGCAGAGGAACATTAGAAATACTGTTCTCTGGATTTCTTCATTTTGGAATTTGCATGATATAACTCAATAAAGATATTATCAACAACAAATTTTCATTGAGTAGAGAAGTTTTGCATTATAATAATGCAACTAATATTCGCCAAGATCTAAAAATCAGTAAAGATCCAAAGGAAAGGTGTCCCAGAATTACTAAGTTAATGAGATGAGTGTAGTAAAATCACAAAATTTTATCTTATAACTTGCACAAGTATCTTTCTTTACCTGTACCAGTTTTCATCCATCTGAATTAAACTTTAATTATATCACTTGCAACTGTGCACTCAACCTGCCTAGGCATTGAATGACAAAGCTTCATATTTATTAAGCTTTATTCATATAAAGACACTCTCTAATCTTCATGACATTCTCCTGAAGATGATGGGCATTGTGCTTGTTCTCTAGATAGAGAATTTGAAGGCTTTCAAATGTCTCCAAACCGCTAGCTAGTTGAGAGCTAAGCACAGTAATTCTAACTAACATTTCAGTGTTCTGCCAAACCCAGAAGATGAAATGTTATGAAAGTTTCTTCTTTGATTTATTTTAATTCAATTCAGCTCATTTTGATTCACTAAGCAGTATTAAGAATCTACAATATACTCAATGTCACCCAAAATACTCTGGGAAATGCAAAATAAGCATAAGGTAAAATCCCTTAACCTTAAGTATTTCATAATTTAATTGAAAATATAATACCTAAACTCAAGGAATAGTTGGATAAAAATTTGAATTAATACATATTGGAAATTCTTAACTGAAAAATAAGTATAGAGGTGATCAGTGCAATTGTATTTAAGATATTATACAACAAAATTTGACATTGGTTGTCTCACATACTGCAATAATACAGTATTATTATTTTATATAATACAATCTTAAAACACTTTTGTAATGTATTCACTCAAAATTAGTCTTTGTATACCTACATTAAATCAGTCAAGGTCTCAATTGCAGAGTGCACAGTGGTGACTAAAAATATATCATCTTGAACCTCATAGCATTATATTTAAAGGAAGAGAGATTAAACAAACATTCCTTGATCAATAATATAACTTGTTATACTTGTTCTGTAGGGGAAGTCCAACTTGATAGAGATTTGCAAAAGGGGATTAAGAAGATTAAGGATGAGACATTTAAACCTGAAGAATGGTTTAAACCTAAATTAAATTTAAACCTGAAGAATGGTTTAGAACAATAATTATATATATGACAACATGATTTCTCTTATTCTTCAGATTTCTGGGGCAAATGAGAATTTGGCATTGTGTTTATTCAGAAAATTATTGGCCCAAGGACTGAAAAATGTGAGGAAAAGCTCAGATAGAGAAAACATATGACATTAGCAAGGATTTTGGGTAAATTTGGGTAAGAATAAAGGGAAGAAGGACCATCTACAAGGGTTATGTTCTGATAAAGGGATGTGAAGTTACTTATGAATATTTTAGATTCAATTGACTGAATACTAGAAATTCATTATAAGGTGTTTAATTATCTCTCTTTCTAATGAAATGTAGTCTCATTAATAATCTCAATGAATGTAAGAACAAATCTTGGCCTGCTGTCTTCCTATCAATACTTAAAATACTGCCCAGTCTGTAATAAGTATTCAGGTAAATTTTGTGGATCAATTGAAAGACTGATTTTATAGGACACACACAGTAAAACTAGATAAACAAAATTATGATGTCTGGAGTAAGCACATACTTCTTTAAAAAAAAGTTTAAAATACAGTTTAATATACAGTTAAAAAATAAAAGGCTGTAATTGTTCCCATTATTTGAAACTGTTGACCCTGCTGTGTCTTGTGTATTGCAATGCTCATCCCTAAGCAGCACAGTAAGTTCAAGTTTCTGTATTTACTACTATATTTTAAGTCCAGACAGATACTAAACTTGAGTATTTTGTATCCAGATAATTTATATGTGGCATGAGATAAGTGGTTTATATTTACTGAATGGTGAATGAAGGAGTAAATGAAGTGAGCGAGTGAAGAGATATAGTGACCAGATCATCTTGAATTATCATTTGGTTAAAGCTGATATGATGAAAGGAAAGGAAATGGAAAAGCATGGTGTAGAGCACATACAAACCACTTGGGGAGAGTGTTTGGAAAAAGGAAAGGAAAAAGCTGCCCTGAAAAAAAATTTGATATGATTATGTACTAGATATGGGAAAAGCAACATGAGTTGAAATGTACAGAAGATTCATACTTACAAAAGTCTTTGAACTTTTGTGGATATAATAATCACTTGGAGAACCTTTTGTAAGTGCATGTATACTTAAACTGATAAAAGTATTCAAGAACTGGGGTGTAGGCCAGAGGTGTGGGGGGTGAGAGGATTCACCAGAGACAGAATGGGGAGCAGAACAGGCAGATCTGAAATACACTGCTGAGGGGAGCAGCAGGAGAGACAGGAGAGGTCTGCTGTGCTGTGGGTCGCCTCCATTGATGGGGATTGAACTCATGCTGTGGTAGCTGGTGATAGCTTGATAGTGCTGAGACATTAACCCCTGTGCCACCAGGGAGGCCCAAATGGATAAAACTTTTAAATTCATTAGATTGAAAAAGCAGTACTACTGCATGTGGTCCCAGGTCACACTTAGGGAAATCCTGCACTAGCTAGAAATGGTAGCATCATTCATTCTGTTTGAAAACTTGAAAGGAATATTGTTCCCTTTGAGTTGGACAAGAAGAATTTTAAACAACTCTAATTTTCAGCTGTTTATATATATATATATATATATATATATATATATATATATAATTTGTTGAAAGAAACAAACATCGTATGATGCTAATTTCTCCCTTTGATTCTTGACCCAGAGAAAAAACAGCTTGAATTGTAAACTGACACTCAATTTATTCATTACTGAAACACCTTTAATCAAGCATTTGGGGGTATATTTCAGCAGTTTACAAAATAATGTTCGACACAGATTCCTGCTGGAGCTTTCCCCAAACCTGTGACTTTATAAGCAATTATGTTCTTATTGCTTATAGGGAGGTGACCATTTAGAACAGGTCATGGAACCACTATAAGCAGTAAGGTTAAATGTTATATCCAACATGGCCAATTTACAACAGAGTTTCTCAGAGTGTTGCCATTCTCCTTTGAAATGAAATAGAAGAGAGCCATATAAAGGGATTATGGGTCTGCTTGGATTTCATTTCCACACTTTCTGGGAAGAGCTATTTCCCCCATTTTAACTGTGATTTTAGTGAGATTTCTATGTTCTCCTATGCTCATTGGATCCTGCCCCTGGTTAATTTCAATGAAAATGGGCAAGTAAACCAGCTAGTATCTTGAGAGGCATGTCTCAATCTAGAAACAGAAAAATATGTTCCTACCCCACATCTAATGGCAGGATGGATTTACTGAAGCAAGTGTTTTCTGCATAAGAGACTGGTTTTGCCAAAGAAAATTAAACAGTGTGCATGGATGTGGCACAGTAAAGACATTAAGGTGATGGAGAGAGATCAAGACAGAGGAGAGAGTCCCTTAATTCACCTTTATCTTGGATCCATACATTTTATAATAAACCTCCCAGTTTGCCTAAATCAATGTGAATTGAATGTTTAAACTAATAGATTTTGGGGCCTCCCTGGTGGTGCAAGGAGTTAAGCACAGCACTATGAAAGTATACTGTAGCAGCCACTGCAGCAACCCACATGACACAGCAGACCTCTCCTGTTTCACCCACTGCTCCCCTCAGCAGTGATTTCAGTCAATCTGTTCTGTTCCCAACTCTGTCTCTGGTGAATCCTCTCACCCTCTACATTGTGGGTCTGCTAAACTTAAGTGGCCTATTTGGCATTCCTATACAAGGTCAGAACTACATTCCCTTTTTTTTTTTTTTTAAGATTTATTTATTTATACAAGCACTGGGTACAGTCAGAATTGCGGGAGGGTGAGAGAATTCACCAGAGCCAGAGCAGGGAGCAGAACAGGCAGACTGACGAAGAAATACACTGCTGAGGGGAGCAGCGGGTGTGGCAGGAGAGGTCTGTTGTGCCATGTGGGACCCTCGCCAGCGGCCAGGGATCGAACCAACGTTGCAGAGGCTGCAGGCAGCTTCACAGCCCAGTGCTCAACCGCTGCGCCACCAGGGGAGGCCCAGAACTGCATTCCTATACAAGGTCACAACTGCCCTTCAGAACCAGTCAGTCAGCCATAGGAGCCAAACCTTACAAGGTACCTTTCATATCAATCAAGAGCTTGATCCCTCTGGGAAGGGTATGCATCAAGAGGTATGACTGGGAATATCCAGGGGGCTGAGGACTGAAGCATAAACTTACTCCAGACTCATACATCATGAGGTATGACAGGGAATGCCTGGGGGCAGGGTAGGGGCGAGGACCAAAGTATGACAAGGGACCCCAGAAATTGA